ACCTCCACCCCCATCTGCAAGGGAGCCCAAACAGGGCCCGCAGGCGGCCTTGGAGCCAGAGCCGGCAGTACTTCCCAACTGCTGAGCACAGGAAGTGGCCTCATCCAGGCAAGGAGACCAGCGCGCTACCCTGCCCAATCATGGAGTCCCGCCCATCTAGGGATCCTGGACAGCAACCCTGCCTGAACATGGAGCACAGCCTCCAGACCCATTGAAATGCAAGGTACAGCTGGCAGCCTTACTTCACCGGGGATGCCAGCCAGAGGCCTTGCCCTAGAGTGGAGCACAGCCAGCAGACTGTCCAATCATGAAGCCCAGCCTGCAGCTCAGACTGAACAGAGTCCCACCAGTGTCACCATGTGGCTGGGGAGCTCAGCCTGATGAACACAGATGGATAAATTCTCAACAAAATACTAGCAAACCTGACTCAATAGCACATTAAAAGGATCATACACAATGACCAAGTGGGATCCAAAGATGGTACAATACTTGTATATGCAAATCAATGGATATGATACATCACATTAACAGAATGAGAGGAAAAAAATCATAAGATCTCAATAGAAGTAGAAAAAAATATGTGACAATATTGAACACCCTTTTATGAAAAATGCTCTCAACAAATTGAGAACATACCTCAATGTAATAAAGGTGATAAATGACAAACCCAGAGCTAACATCATACTTAATGGTGAAATGTTGAAAGCTTTTCCTCTAAGATCAGGAATAAGAAAAGAGCTCACTCTCACCACTCCTAGTCAACATAGTACTGAAAGTCCTCGCCAGAGCAATTAGGGAAGAAAGAGAAATAAAAGGAATCCAAATCAGGAAGGAAGAAATAAAATTGTCTTTGTAGATGACATTATCATATATTTCATAAACTTTACTCCAAAAATAAATTAGGTCTAATGAATGAATTCAGTAAATTTCAGAGTACAAAGTCAATATGTAAGTCTATTGTGGGGCTGGCCGAGTGGCGCGTTGGTTAAGAGCTGGCTTGGGACACCAGAGGGCCCCAGTTCGGATCCCACATATGAGGGCCAGTGACACTGCCCTCCACAGCTAAGATGCTGAACAACAGCTCGACCTGGAGCTGGG